GTCAATCAATCAGTATTCAAGGAACCCCTAGAAATCTCTGGAGGAACCCTAGGATCCCTTAGAACCTTGGTTGACAATGGCTGTCTTAGAGAGAACTGTGAAACCATTTGTATGAGTTGCCCATGTATCACAAAATTTTGGGGCCCTTCAGGCTCTACACTGTTGGTGATGGTAGTATATTACTGAGCAAAGTTTGAAGAACACTAGTTTAGTGTGTAGAGGACTGATTTTATAAGTGCAGGTAATATAAATTAGGTAATGGGGATGGAGGCTTCTTAGTAATTGCACTGAGGTTTGATAGTGTGCTCCCAGACTCCAAGGAACAGTTTGGATGTTCTTTGCATAGGGTGAAAATGTGAGTCCTTAGTGCCTGGGGTGCCCTGAATTTGGAGATTCAATACAACATTGATCAGGATTTCCTGTCTAGAGCATGGCCCAGTCCCTTTTGGCTGAAGTGTAATGCCTCTGAGAATCGAGAGGCTTTGCTGTCCTTAAAGACTCCGGGCAAATTTCCCCCATCCCCCATGCAGTGGGGCTCTGCTGAGACATGCCTAATCTGCCAATCCTTTCAGTGCAAGACTGGTCCCTGCTGCTCCTGCCCTTCTGCAGTCTGGTGGTCTTGTGCGGTGGACTGTTCCTGACGTAATCACGCCCATAGACCAGCTCAGGACGTGAGGTCGGCAGGAACAATCCACTGCAGGACATGGGGGAGTGCCGTTTTCCATTGGATTGAAGGATCGGGAGAGTATAGACTGTTTTCACCCCTAGACAAAATGAGCAGTTAACCCATGCAGTGCAGGCACAGCCCCACTGCATGGGAAAATTTTGCCCAGAGTCCTGCTTTAACCTTTGTGCTGCTTTGTTAGCGGTTCATGAAATGGTGTAACATTAGTGTTGATAAAAGTGATTTCATAAGCCATATTTCAATGTTTGATTACAAACCGGTTTGACATCATTGTTCCGTTGATTGTTCCATCATTGTGTGTGCATTGTCATCTTCCACTGACTTGCTGTGATGCTGAATGATGATAGCAGTTAGGTGCTAGTAGGAATTCTGTCATTGTATAGTGTTACAACCCCTTAAGTGAGGTTACACAAACTTCATAAGTAGAACAGTCAGTACATAACCCCTAGCACAGCTCATCATGTACAGTGTCTTGAAAAAGTATTCATACCCCTTGAAATTTTCCACATTTTGTCATGTTACAACGAAAAATGTAAATGTATTTTATTGGGATTTTTTGTGATAAACCAACACAAAGTGGCACATAATTGAGAAGTGGAAGGAAAATGATTAATTGTTTTCACGTTTTTTTTTTACAAATAAATATCTGTAAAGTGTGGCATACATTTGTATTCTGCCCCCTTTACTCTAATACCCCTAACTAACATCTAGTGGAGCCAATTTCCTTCAGAAGTCACCTAATTAGTAAATAGAGTCCACTTGTGTGTAATTTAATCTCAGTATAAATACAGCTGTTCTGTGAAGCCCTCAGAGGTTTGTTAAAGAACATTAGTGAACAAACCGCATCATGAAGGCCAAGGAACACACCTGACAGGTTAGGAATAAAGATGTGGAGAAGTTTTAAAGCAGGGTTAGGTTTAAAAAAAAATATTCAAAGCTTTGAACATCTCATGGAGCACTGTTCAATCCATCATCCGAAAATGGAAAGAGTAAGGCACATCTGCAAACCTACCAAGACATGGCCGTCCACCTCAACTGACAGGCCATCAAAGAGAGCATTAATCAGAGAAGCAGCCAAGAGGCCCATGGTAACTCTGGAGGAGCTGCAGAGATTCACAGCTCACTGGGAGAGTCTATTCACAGGACAACTATTAGTCATGTACTCCACAAATCTGGCCTTTATGGAAGAGTGGAAAGAAGAAAGCCATTGTTGAAAGAAAGCCATAAGAAGTCCCGTTTATAGTTTGCAAGAAGCCATGTGGGGACTAGGGATGCACCAAAGTTTTGGCCACCGAAATATATCGACTGAAAATAGCCCTAGAAAAAACGCTATGTGTGGCGGAAAAATAACACTGCACACCACCCTGAACACACCATCCCCACCGTGAAACGTGGTGGCAACATGATGACGTTGTCAGGATGCTTTTCTTGAGCAGCGACAGGGAAAGCTGGTCAGAGTTGATAGGAAGATGGATGGAGCCAAATACAGGGCAATCTTAGAAGAAGACCTGTTAGAGTCTGCAAAAGACTTGAGACTGGGGTGGAGGTTCACCTTCCAGCAGGATAATGACCCTAAATGTACAGCCAGAGCTACAATGGAATGGTGTAGATCAAAGTATATTCATGCGTTACAATGGCCCAGTCAAAGTCCAGAACTAATGCCAATTGAGAATCTGTAGCAAGAGTTAAAAATTTCTGTTCCAATGCTCTCCATGCAATCTGACAACTTGAACTATTTTACAAAGAAGAATGGGCAAAAATTTCACTCTCTAGATGTGCAAAGCTGGTAGAGACATCCCCAAAAAAGACTTGCAGCTGTAATTGCAGTGAAAGGGGGTCCTACAAAGCATTGACTCCGGGGGGGGGGGGGGCTGAATACAAATGCACGCCACACTTTTCAGATATTTTATTTGTAAAAACTTTTGAAAACCATTTATCATTTTCCTTCCACTTCACAATTATGTGCCACTTTGTGTTGATCTATCACATAAATTTCCAATAAAATACATTTACGTTTTTGGTTGTAACATGACAAAATGTGGAGACTTTCAAGGGGTATGAATTCTTTTTCAAGCCACTGTACCGTTTGTCTGATGCTAATCTAGAATCTGACACTTTCCAAATTGTAATTTTCATACTTACATTTATAATTCATATTCCTTTGCAATGTGAAGCAACTTCCCCAGACTGAGCCTCATTTGCGATCCATTTTTATCCTGCTCATGTATAAAATGAATGAAATAAGATATTAAATCATGACAATACATATACATTTAGTAGACTGATGGGGTCTTGTGTAAGGAGCGTAGAAAAGAAAAGTGTAGATTTTGGCCACAGCAGCTACTTTTGCAGCTTCTCGCTGTAATTTTCCTATTCTGTTAGAAGTTTTTCACGACCAGATCTTATAGTATTCTCTATTCCATCCACCACTTTTCATATATTACATTTACTATAAAATGTCTTACATAGTCATACAGCTGATAGCAAATTATCATCCAAAATATATGGTAAAGTGATACAAAATTCTTTTTTTTTTTTTTTTTAATAACAAACATGTCATACTTACCTGCTCTGTGCAGTGGTTTTTTTCGGGTTCCCCGCCTGTGCTCCTGGCTCCTTCCTCCTGTAGGGTGCCCCCACAGCAAGCAGCTTGCTATGGGGTCTCCCGAGCTGCTTTCTCTGCATGTCCATTCACAAACAGCACTTTGGCTAGGCTTCGCCCACTCCCCCTCCTGATTGGCTCACTGGCAGTGATTGACTCCATTTGCTCTCGCTGCTGCCTCAGCCAATCAGGAGTGGGAGTCTCTGGAGAGCTGGACATCGAGATGGGACTCTGGTAAGTGTTCGGGGGGCTGCTACACACCTTTTTGCCTTTAAAAACCACTAAATCTATTTAAATGCAGGTAGCGTACTTACTTTAATGTGGTTCTAAAGGCTAAACATTTTTACCTAATGCATTCCTTGTCTCAGGGAAAGGCTGTGTGGGGGCGGGAGTCAGGGCAAGTCTGATCATTGGAGAGCAGGGTGAGTTCTCATCATAGCTAGAGAACTGACCATGCTAATCTCTGCTTCTTAGTATGGTCAGTTTTTAACTGGAAAGCAAAGGGACTGGCAGGAAGACCAAGCATTTCACACAAAGGGAACAGGATTTTTTAACACAAGTACATAGTACAGCAGGCACCTATCAGGAATATGAAATATTGTATTTCCATATTGTTTAACAAGATCACTGGGGAAACACTGGAGCAGAGTCTTTGTTCTTCACTCATGTATTGGTTGGTTTTTAGGCTGAGTAGTTCATTTTTACATTGTTTTCTATAAACATCAGGAAATGGTTGCTTTAAGTTTGTGTGCGTGTTTATCTTAAGACTAGTGCTTTGTTCTGCACTTCAAAGCAAGATTTCTCCTCATTTCTAAATTTGCCCACCTACTATACAAATCATTTCTAGACACTGGTAACAAAAGATCCACAAGCAATAGATCTGTCTAAAGCAGCCCATACATTGGTCAACCAGTGGGCTAAACGAAAAAAATGATCTGACTATCCATCCACTCATTCATCGTGGATGGGGGAATCCTTCCCGCTGTGGTATAGTATTCTGACAGCGGGGAAACTCCCACCCCCCAATTAGAATACAATGATCAATAGATTGACTTTGTACAACCAGCCTGGCAATACATGGATGGTAATTTTGCCAATTCAGCATGAACCAGCCAAATTTTGATTCATGTATGGCCAGCTTAATGTTGAGGCTGACGAGGGGGATGATATTAAAAAAAAAAAAAAATGAGCAGATGGTTTTCAACAAACAGCAGCCCATGTTGAAAAGTGCCAGAACCTACTGCATTTCATCATGAGACTCAGATGTTAAGCAAAGTGGTGCATGAACGTTGTCTGTGTGATAAAGTGCCTTTGATGGTCAAAAGCTTGTTACCTCCCTCAATGGGAGCCCTTAATAGCACAGCTCTCATTCTGATGTCGCAACAGGCAGTGCTTCACACAAACTGAACACGATTGGGAAATTCTACATGGAAATGTGTTCAGGAACATGTACTGTACACTTGCTGGAACTAGCCTATTGCTAACAGCTTACAGTGAAAGCATTAATAATCTGTTATGAAAGGGTTACATATAACTGTGGGAATTGACTCATGTTATAGGTGGTTTGGTCTTTTTATTGTACCCATCATTCGATCTGAATACTATATTTCCTGATCTCATGATATCTATTCTTTCTCTTTTAGGCAAAATAATGAAAAAAGTGCACCAAAACTCTTGATAAGACTGATTGGGGTATAAGCAACAGCCACGCTCATGTTTTCTCCCGATCAAGAAAACCATCCCGCCAAGGCACCTGTGAAATATGGGGAGCTCATTGTACTGGGGTGAGTACTGTGTTCTTCCTCTATCCAGTCATGAACCTTGCTAGATCTTTTATCTTCATCTAGTTCTAAACAAGGATGGCCTTTATTGCAGATATTGATGTATTAAATGGGTTTAGTTCCAAGTAGTTACTCCCGCTGCGCAGCTCGGTATTCATTTCGGAACAATTCCTGGGTGCCAGGATAACTAGACTGCCAGCAAGGGACCTTGCGCACATTGGGCTATTAGAGCCAAGGAAAGTATTGCAGACTTTAGTTTAACTTTAAGAGCTGGCACCCTGAAATCTAGGTGGTCTATTCTGCAATCTCTAACTTCTTCCCCTGAAGTTGTCATTTTGGCTCCCTGTAACATTGGTCAAAGAGATTGTATTCACTTTCTTCTTGTGAGGTGTTCTTATTTAATTCCTAATCCTGACCCTTGCTTTACTCTTGGCAGCTCTGTTCGGACCACATATTGATGAATTTGTGAATCTATTCTTAGCTGCAAGGCAACGTACAAAATGTTATTTTTGCCTACGTTGGCCTAACTCTTGGTAGCCCTGTATAGTTACTCACATATTGATAATTTTGAGAATCCATCCTAAACTGCAAGTGTGTGGTTGTAAACTAAATTCAGGATCTTGTGGAAAATCAGTTTTTGGAAGGCTTCACACTTGAAAGGATAACTTTTCATATAACTTGGGCATGTTTTTTAATATCACCTCTTACCTAAACATGTTCTTTCCCGGTGCCATGAAGCAGCCTTCACACGCCCATCCAGTGTAAACCTTGCTTTGTGTAAATGTAATATGGCTGCAGTCTGTGCTGTACAGTGCAGAGGAAAACCTGTTTCCAGAACAAAACTGATAACATAGAAAACAATCTGAGATCCCGCCTAGATGACAATTCCACTTTTCACACTGTGCTGTCTGGAATTACATGGCATGGGGCTTTGGACAAGGCTTAACTACATTTAGACAGGACTTTCTGTTTTAGCAATTTTTGGCTTTTTTCCATAGTGCATTGCTCTTATGTGAACAGAGCAATGTTTACACTGACCTGTGCTTATGAAGGTAGCTCTCAAAGCAGAGGGAAATATGACAGAGAAAAGGCACGCCCCTTGAGGGTTAGGGACTGATGTGAATGTACAATATATATGTAAAGCGCTGCGTAAATTGACGGCGCTATATAAGTACCTGAAATAAATAAATTATATTTGCAAAGTTACTCCAAGGATATAAAACAGCAAATGTGTTTTAAAAGTACAGTACATTCATCCTTGGAATATACTGTGGAAATGCTTAAAGTAAAAATTAAAGTCTGCAAATGCTGACTTCTTTAGAAAATGCTAGTGGCCTGGCTGTTTCATTCCCTCTTAAAGTGGTTGTCAACCTCAGTCATGAAATCTGAACAGTGCACAGCTATCTGTAGTATCTGTACTATAGTGTTTACTTGTCTCTCTTCAAAGCTCTATCTGGTGCTTCATTCCTCTGTTATCAGCATGTGTCACTTCTGTGAAGTTTTCCTGACCCACTAGATTAATCTGTGGGGGGGGGATGGAAGGGGGGGTGAGAGCTGGGCAGACAGCTTGTCTATTCAGAACATAGCTCCTGTGTGTTGTGGGGATGTGTCCCTTTCCTCCAGTCAGCTCTAACTGCAGCTCCCTGCCTCCTCCTCTGTGATACTGACAAAAATGCAGAAGGATTTTACCTACAATCAGCACTTTTAAAGGGATGTACCAAAGAGAAGTCTGCAAATAAACAAGTAAAACATATGCGGGGCGATTTGTTTCATTTCACTGGTATATGAGAGGGTTTACAACCACTTTAAGGGTGTGCTCACACTACCCACAGAAAAAAAACAATGTTTTTCTCCGCAGGTAATGACCACAGCTGGGGAGTGGTGCTTTGCATTTTTTACAACACAAGAAGCAGTTTCTCCCCTTTTTGTTCTAAAATTTGGTGGAATGGTACGGCTCAGCTGCAGTGCTAAACAAATGCAGCAGAAAAAAAAAAAAAAAAAAAAAAAAAAAAAAAAAAAAAAAAAAAAACAAAAAAAAATCAAAATGGTGTGGAAAAATGCAACATGTCTGCATATTTCTGCACAACTATGCCCCGCAGCATGAAAATACAAACCATTGTTTTCTGTGTGCCCTTGTGAAGAGCTAAATTTTTTTTTCCTCAGAAAAAACGCATTTTGTGAACCTACCCTTAAAAAAATCAGCACAAGGGGGGTGGTACTATCAATGTGATACGTCCCTTGTGCTGCTGTCTCTTGGTTTGGTGGAAATTTTCTTCCTCCAATCCCTACCCGTGCTGCCTTAATCTTTTGGTGCAGCAAGGGTTAATAGAGCTGAATGAGCTATGACAGGCATTCATCGAATTAATTCATCAAAAGTTGTCCATGAAAGGAAGACAGGCAGATGATTGAATGCATAGATTGTGTTTCATTCATAGAAGCAATAGTACTACTTCTATGAATCAAGGAGCTGGGCGGAAAGGGTGGACATAGTATGGCTCTCTTGATGAGTGCCTGTCACAGCTCCCCCCCCCACTCTTATTAAAAACCCTGCCACGGGGGAACGTTTTAGCAGCAAAGGTTAGGGGGGTGGATCGAAAGGAAGATTTCTGCTAAACCAGGAGAGGGCAGAACAAGGGACACACTGATAGTAAGTTATGTCCCTTAGGCTTCAATTCAGTGATGTAATAAGTAGATAAGGACTTCTGACTTTTTATAACTTTCCTGATCTGTATATTTTGTTATGTTTGAGTGAGTTAATCAAAGTATTAAAGCTTTTTAGAGAGTTAGAGATCTACTGGTGGTATAATACGTACTTCACAAGTTTAAACCAGGACAATGCTATTTCTTTGGTGATCCCCTTGTCCCAGTGTGTTTTGTGCATTGTTGTTGGTCTCTAGATTTTCATTTTTAGATGAAATTATTTCATTTTTTAGATGAGATTCATTAAAAGTTTGTTATAGGTGTGGTATCATAAAATGTTGATACCAAGTGCAAGTTTATGTCTTCCATTTATTATTAGCTTTTATATATTCAGTTGGTTAATGTGCACATCTGAGTGTAAATGAAGTAATCACAGCGGTGACCTAACTACTTCAGCAAAATAAGCATTAAATCTCCAGTGCAGACAAGAAGGTGGATGACTTAACACGCAATGAGTCATATCTTGCATGATATCCCAGTTCTTCTTTACAAACCTGTATAGTCTGTTTTATTAAACTGTTCTTTTAATATCTCACCTTACAAGTTGTTCATTACAACGCCCACTGCCATGCAGACATTCTCTTACTTCTTGGCTCTAGTTTGCAAAACCCAACTCCAACTTCTCAGTATAAAACAATTTGTAAAGTGGTTGTAAACTTCAAGCATGAAAAGTGAATAAAGCCTATCCTTCTGTAGTGTGTACTAGCCTGAATCCAAAGCACCAGTCTGGTTCTCTGATTTTTCTGCGATCTGTACAAGCCAATCATAGAACTGTAAGCCAACACCTAAGCCTCAAAGCCCCCCCCCCCCCTCGCACACCAGGTGGCGCATAGACTCAGCTCTGCTTTTCTCTATTAACCTTTTAGCGGAGGGGGGTGTCCTTTCCCTCCAATCCGCTATCAGATTTTGCAGAGCTCTGTGCTCTAGCTCTGCAGTGTGCATGATGTCTGATCCCCACCCCCTGCTTTTTGCTGCTCAAAGATGCTGTGTAAAATGTGTGTTTTGGAAGATTGTACAGAAGAAGGGGCATCAGATGAGCAGGTACAATTTATATAGGAGGCTTTTTTTTTCTGTGCATCACCCTAGCTAGTCACTTCCCAGGGTCTATGTAAGGCTTTACAACCACCTAAAAGCCCAATTGAAGCAATGTTTTGTTTTATTACTGGAATTCAGTCCTGCTGCATAACAAATATTATGTATAGGTTTTATTATGTGGTCTTGCTTTAAAACTGTATCAGGTTGCCCTGTTGTGTTAGCAAGCTGGAGAACCAGACCACTGCTCTCACATGAAGTGCAAAGGTCCAGATCTGCAGGTGTCTCACATGCCCCTGCACAGTGCTCCTATCAACATCACTGTTCAAGGTGAGCATTGTTAATTGGACTGGGCAGGGGGCATGTACACTGGAAATATCTACTGCTGCTCTCTATTTTAGAACGCTAGTTCCAGAGCACAATTGTATTACCGACACAGGACAGCTTGATATAGTTGTAAAGCATGTAATTAACTTTACATATTGGTTGCATAACAATAATAAAAACCATGACTTCAGTTGGGGTTTAAATTCCATAAGTCTTGTTTAAAAAACATAATGTTTGTTTGAAAAAATATTAAGCCTGTTTAAAAAGAAAACCCTTTACATTTTTGGGTTGAAATACTTACCTTCTTGACGTCCTTGTGGAAACTTTGATAGCTGTTGACCCACTTCCAGATTGAATGACACCCAGCCTCACTCAACTGTAAGTCAGTGCAGTCATGGCTGCACTATAGTCTATAGTTCACTGTGCTGCTTGGAGGAAGAATTTGATGTAACAAATAGATGCAGGGAGCCAAAGGGGTTTAGGTATTTACTTGAATCAGACTTTAAGGTTTATCTCTAGCAAGATCCATAAAGACATGGATGAGCAAGTTTGGGGTCCTAACCTCAACCTGATAGAATATCTTTGGGATGAATTAGAGCGGAGACTGTGAGCCAGGCCTTCTCGTCCGATATCAGTGCCTGACCTCACAAATACGCTTCTGGAAGAATGGTCAAACATTCCCATAGACACACTCCTAAACCTTGTGGACAGCCTTCCCAGAAGAGTTGAAGCTGCAAAGGGTGGGCCAACTCAATATTAGACCCTACGGACGAGGACTGGGATACCATTAAAGTTCATGTGCGTTTAAAGACAGGCGTCCCAATACTTTTGCAATATAGTGTCTGTGTGTGTGTATGTATGTATGTGTGTGTGTGTGTGTGTGTGTGTGTGTGTATATATATATATATATATATATATGTGTAAGTATGTGTGTGTATGTGTGTGTGTGTGTATATATATATATATTTATATATAATATAATGTGTGTGTGTGTGTGTGTATGAACCTGCTCTCATCTGTGAAAAGCACAGGGCGCCAGTAGCGCACCTATTAATTCTGGTGTTCAGTGGCAAATGCCAATCAAGCTCTATGGTGCCAGGCAGTGAGCACAGGGTCCACTAGAGGACATTGGGCCCTCAGGCGACCCTCATGAAGTCTGTTTCTGATTGTTTGGTTGGTTAGAGACATTCACACCAGTGGCCTGCCGGAGGTAATTTTGTAGGGCACTGGCAGTGTTCATTCTGTTCCTCTTTGCACAAAGGAGCAGATATCAGTCCTGCTGATGGGTTAAGGACCTGTCCAGCTCTCCTAGAGTAACTGCCTGTCTCCTGGAATCTCCTCCATGCTCTTGAGACTGTACTGGGAGACACAACAAACCTTCTGGCAATGGCACATATTGATGTGCTATCCTGGAGGAGTTGGACTGCCTGTGCAACCTCTGTAGGGTTCAGGTATCGCCTCATGCTACCAGTAGTGACTCTGACCCTAGCCAAATGCAAAACTAGTGAAAAATAGTCAGAAAAGATGAGTAGGGAAAAAAAAAATGTCAGTGGCCTTCACACCAAAGCAGCTGAAACTGATTAAAAACCCCCTCTGCTACTTAACTGATCAGATCAATATCCCAGGAGTTTAATTGACTTGATGCTATACTCTGATTAAAAAGTGTTCCTTTAATTTTTTTGAGCTGTATGTGTGTATAATTTATTATTTTTTTATTCACATGTCATTTTTACATTTGTATTTTATTCAACAAAGAACATATGTATAAAACTATTATAAATTCCCTTTCTGTAACTTGTCATATTATGTATTTTAAAAAGTTGTGCTGATATTTCTTAGTCACTCTCGCGGTATTACAGTACTACTTTAATTTTCTCCAGGTACAATGGCTCTCTTCCGAATGGGGACAGAGGAAGGAGGAAAAGCAGGTTTGCTTTACTGAAGAGACTTAAAGCCAATGGGGTGAAGCCAAGTACTGTTCACATTGCCTGTACTCCCCAGGCAGCAAAGGTAACTTTATGTATTGTTATTTAGTTTCCCAAATAAAATCTAATATGTGCTTTTTAACCACTTTCCGTTCCGTCACAGTATATTTACTGTGACAGGGCAGCAGCTTCAGACACAGCAATGCAAATATACATTGCAAACCTGCTTCTGGGTTTTGAAATGCATGCGCGTGTCCCCTGCTAACCTGCACTGTGGTTGGACACAGCGGAATTTTGTCAGCAGATCCTGGCCAATGATTTATGGCTGAGACCTACTGATCAGCTGTGTTCAATCACAGCACAGAGCCCTGTGTTTACTAACAACAGAGGGCTCTGTACACAAAGCAGCGATCTGGCTGTTTCTTCTCCCTGCAAAGTTAAAAAAAAAAAAAACAGCCAAATTTATTAGTAAAAGCAGCACATATCACATGGTTATACTTTTTCGGCACACAGGTAACCCTTTGATTGCCCCTTGATGTTAATCCCTTCCCATCCAAGTGTCAGTACAGTATTAGCACTGATCACTGTATTAGTGTCACTGTTAATGTCAGTGTTAGTGTGCCTCCCAGCCAGCATCAGCTAGCCCTCCACACTTCTCACAATCCCACTAAAAGTCACTGATCACCACATTACCAGTATAGCATCATAGCTGCATACATTCCAGTATATATCTATACTCGGACAAAAAAGTTAACAAAAAAAACCACACAATAGAAAAAAAAAAACTAAAACGGGCAGACTCAATGGACCACTCATACATTATAATGTTTGCACAAACCAATTAATATACACTTATTGGAATTTGTTATTTACCAAAAACATGTAGCAGAATTAATTTTAGTATTTATTTATGAAGAAATGTGATATTTTTTATTTATTATTATTATGGGATATGTTTTTTTGTGTTTTAGAATAGAAAGTAGAAAATGTTTGTTTTTTTTTCCAAAAGATTTGGTGTTTTCATTTATATAATAAAAAAATAAAAACCCAGTGGTGATCAAATGCCACCAAAAGAGAGCTATATTTGAAAAAAAAATAACTTTTTTTTTTGGGTAGAGTGTTTCATGACTGCGCAATTGCCATTTAAAGTAGTGCAGTGCTAAATCGCAAACAATACGCTGGTCATGAAGAGGTAAAACCTTCCAGAGGTCAAGTGGTTAAGGACATTTGGCTTTTGCATCTTTTTGAACATTAGTCCATACAGTGGTATTGATCGTTATGCTCATTCCCAATATTTCTCTTATATGTATTATTGTCATTGCTACCAAAGCAGTTTTTAAAGCAATTATTTTCATACTCTGACATTTCGGCAGGTTTTAATTATGAACAGCTTCTTCAGCAAGAGAGTTAGATACAAAAACACAGCTAGATCATTGATCCAGATATATTGAAAGCCGCCATCTCTACACCGAGCAACAAAAAAAAAAAAAGCCTTATGAAAATTGACAGATATTGTGTTTTAGATAATTTTTTTTTCTGCTGTCTGGTCAGTCCCTTTTGTATAGTTGTGCATAGAGAATCCTGATCTCTTAACCTTTAGTACTTTTCTTTTGGGGGGGGGGGGGGGTCTCTTCTGTTGTTTAGGTAAAGCCACAACAGAAGAGTGATGAGAAACTGTTTACCTGCTTTAGAAGGCATAACCTTTTAAATAACATACTGTTATGGTGTCTTTTGTCAGGGTGCCATTTGCCTGCTTTTTGATGCTGTGTCATTGTTCTTTCTTAATAATATACACATTTTTGTTTCAGGCAATAAGTAACAAGGACCAGCATAGTATATCCTACACTTTGTCAAGGGCACAGACTGTGGTGGTGGAGTACACTCATGACAGCAACACGGACATGTTTCAGGTAAGAATCTTCAACAAAAGTTTTCTGTCTTATTAATATGGCCATTAAGGCACAGTTTGTATTTAATAACAGGATTTTTAAACACTAACAAATCCTTGCTATAGTTGAATATATAGTGATCCTAAAAGGAGACCCTTTAATTTTACTTTTTGAGTAGTAGATCCTACTCTTGAAATAGTATGTCTGTATGTGGAGTTTGAGTGCCCTTTTCTGCTACAACTGGAGGCTTTCTGATTACGGAGACTATATCCGTGGTCCCCAAGCTGTGTCCCACAGGCCAGACATGGCCTTTTGCTTGCATTTAAATGGCCCTTGGGGTACAATTCTTCCCATTGATAACAAAAAAGGGGCAATATTCCTTCCCCCCCCCTTGACCACAGGCATTAGGTCTTTTCTTACTCTAATGGCAATTGATACTTTGGAAGCTTCTACTCCTCCTGGCAACAGTCTGGCCCCCCTAAAGTCTAAATGGCTCTAAACTTGGCCCAGTGTTTAAAAAGTTTGAGGAACCCTGGACTTTATCTTTGGGAGGTTGATCAGAGGTCTTGCTTAACGTGCGTTTGTGTGTGTTTTTCATATAGAAATATACACTATATTGCCAAAAGTATTGGGACACCCCTCCAAATCATTAGATTCAGGTCCAGTCACCTCTATGGCCACAGGTGTATAAAATAAAGCACCTAGGCATGCAGACTGCTTCTACAAACATTTGTAAAAGAATGGATTGCTCTCAGGAGCTCAGTGAATTCAAGTGTGGTAACTGTCTGCAGAGTCAATAGCCAAAGACCTCCAACTTCATGTGGCCTTCAGATTAGCACAACAGTGCATAGAGAGCTTCATGGAATGGGTTTCCATGGCCAAGCAGCTGCATTCAAGCCTTACATCACCATTTCCATGGCCAAGCAGCTGCATTCAAGCTTTATACCACCAAGTGCAATGCAAAGCGTCGGATACAGAGGTGTAAAGCACGCCGCCACTGGACTCTAGAGCAGTTGAGACATGTTCTGTGGAGTGACGAATTGTGCTTCTCTGTCTGGCAATCCATTGGACGTGTCTTGGTTTGGCAGTTGCCAGGAGAATGGTACTTGCCTGACTGCATTTTAACAAGTGTAAAGTTTTGTGGAGGGGGATTATGGTGTGGGGCTGTTTTTCAGGGGTTGGGCTTGGCCCCTTAGTTTCAGTGAAGGGAACTCTTAAGGCGTCAGCATACCAAGACATTTTGGACAATTTCATGCTCCCAACTTTGTGGGAAAAGTTTGGGGATAGCCCCCATAAAGACATGGATGAGCAAGTTTGGGGTAGAGGAACTTGACTGGCCTGCACAGAGTCCTGACCTCAACCCAGTAGAACACCTTTGGGATGAATTAGAGCAGAGACTGTGAGCCAGGCCTTCTCGTCCGGCATCAGTGCCTGACCTCCCAAATGTGCTTCTGGAAGAATGGTCAAACATCCCCATAGACACTCCTAAACCTTGTGGACAGCCTTCCCAGAAGAGTTGAAGTTGTTATGGCTGCAAAGGGTGGGCCAACTCAATATTGAACCATCTGGACTAAGATTGGGATTCAAATTCATGTGCGTGTAAAGGCAGGGGTTCCAATACTTTTTGCAATATAGCCTATATACTGTATATATATAGTATATATCAAACTTTTATTTTTCTTGACATTGCTTTTGAGTGTTCTGCCACAGGGTGCTGGGGTAGCATTCGGCACCAGGGTATAAGTATCCCTTATTCCTGTAGCTTTGTCAAATATGTATACAGTATGTCTTCAGTACTTGGCCAATGTGCAGCAGATCCAGATTCTTCAACTGAATATAAATCAGGTTTGCTTATGTGGGTTTTGTCTAGAGCTGCAAATTCAGACATTTTGCAGCACACAGGCATTTACAAATGAGGGACAATGGACACATTTTCACAATGGCCATATGCTCTGACAGTTGTAGGCAATGAGAGGGTTTCATTATAACCATTTGAGTTCCATCGGTTGCCAGTAAAATATAGACTGGCTGCAGGAAAAGACTGGTGCTCATGATCAACAACTTAGGGTAAAATTCTTTAATTTGTTACTTTGTACATTAATGCCTTTTTTGCAAACCTTTAATGAGACACAACTCCTTGTAATGTGTTACAGCTTTATAATTAAAGGGTCAAGAATGGTCACAATGCATGTGATGCATAATAATCTGAGGTCAGAGAAAATAAGTCATTTGTATCCCTTCTCTCTCTCTCATTTTCAGCTACAGTTTATTCCACAGCTTCAGTAAATGAATGAAACATCATGGCAAGTTACTGTAGGCTTCCTTTTGATGGTCTAGGGAGATTTCATCTTTGTAATACTCAGCCATGACAATGCTCTCGTTGTCTTGACAAGTCATTCTCTGTATGTTGCTATTTCTTTCTGTACAATGATTCCTATCTCTCTTCTAATGCATTTCTAGATTGGAAGGTCAACAGAAAGCCCTATTGATTTTGTGGTAACTGACACAGTTCCAGGAAGCCAGAGCAACTCCGATACACAGTCCGTACAAAGCACCATCTCGAGATTCGCATGCAGAATTATTTGTGAACGAAATCCTCCATTTACTGCCAGAATATATGCTGCAGGCTTCGACTCTTCCAAGAATATTTTCCTTGGGGTAAACCATTCTATGTTAATTGTTTAAGGATTATTATCCCCAGTGCAGTTGAGAAAACATTCCTTTTTTTGGGGAACCGTATTTCACTTTTAGTCAGGTAGATGTGAAAGAAGTGAAGTCTCCATGTTGCCTAATAATAGACCTAATGATGTAAAGGTGCCGGGTGGGGGATATAGATGATGTTCCTGACACTTGTGTTTAGTCCTATGTGTTTCATACTCTGGCACTGGTAGCTGATGTAAGTCAGTTCAGAAAATCACCTTAACTGTTGTCCTACATTCATAATATACAATTGGGGAGAGCTTACCAGTAAGTGCATGGTTTAACTGGCAAGGGAGGAATGCTTCACTTTGTTTTTAAACCACTGTACAGTTACCCAGAAATAAGAGGTGTCTCATCATTTTCAGCCAGAATAAGCAGCAATATCATGTCTCTGGTACTTTCAGACAGGTCAGGCTAACTATTCTAAGGGGGGTGGGGTGGATGTTATTGGTCAGATAGGTAAGAAAACCATTGTTCCTCGTGCAGGTAAGCTGACACCATTGCTGTCATCCTGCAGCTCGCTGTTCTTCCCCTCTCTCCAAATAAATAAAACACATGTAGTACCTCTCATGCAGTACACACACACACACACGCACGTACGTACGCACACGCGCGTGCGTACAAGTACAGAAACATACTTGTTGATCTTCCAGAAATGGACTCTGTTCCCAAGGCAAGCCGATGATGCAATTTTTGCTCGATTTCCCCCATCAACAATGTGGTAATCCTTCCCTGCCAGCAGAGCACAGTGAAGGCTGCTAAAGCCAGTGGCAGTAATCACATGACAAAACTCAGGCTGGTTGTACTGAAGTTGATCGATGGATGGACTTCAGTACAACCAGCCTGCCCATAGATGGATCAAATCTTGGCTGGTTCAGCAGGGATTTGGTTCTTCTTTGGCCAACTTAAGTCCTGTTGTGAGTGCTATCAGCCCTGGCCAGTTTTCTCTTGCCACACTAATCTGTTCCACCTACTCTGTCATCCATCTTTACAACTAAAGGTCTTATTATTCTGTAGTCCCAAGATAAGCACAGAGAGGATTAATAACTCGCATTGAGACAACCCAGAAAGTAAGCACTGGACACAGGATAGCTCTGAATTTGACACGATCCACGGGTATTTTTGTACTTATTGAAAATATATAACACAACAGTTTCAATTGTATATTTAGTAAACCAAAAGGGATCAAAACAGAAGTTCACTGTTCACATGCACTTTAATGGAAACCTGTCATTAGATAAGCATAGATGTTACCATTGCTTAGCTCTTCATCTGAAAATGCAAGTTGGCTGGCTGCCTATCTTGACCCACTTTCTTCAGACGGACTCAAAACACATGCACAAATAAACATATCTGACTTTTCTCCAAGTTTGCTGCTCCTTCTACTACTTCTAACGCATTGACTTAGATTATTGTTGCCAGCACTGAAAAGCACAGTGTTGTGGCGTGAACAAGACCTGAGAGCACTCAAATCTTCATTGCATGTCCAAGCCCCCTCTAAAGAGACTCTGTCACTAGGAGTAGAGGGGACAGACTACAGTAGGTATCATGCACAAGCACCTAGAAGTACCTTCACATATCTGCAGCAGCCTCCCTGGCAATTGGCACAGGTATAAAGCACAGCATTTAGACCTCTTTCACATGGGGCTTGTTGACTAGCTTCGATTGCATTGCCAGGAGTAGCTAAGGCGAGTTAAAAATGCACTTCAACTGCATGTTTTTGCTGCCTGACATTGCCCATGTAAAAGGGTGCCTAAGAGGTACCAGCATATGCATTGTCCTGACAAAATTCTTGTAATGCCAAAGCTTGCTCACCTCTTTCTGCCTCCTGTGCACTCTGATTGGCTAGTGGGGCTGCTCATCGTAGTGATGGGCCAAGAGTAATGTAAGAAGACAAGGCTTGGCTGCAAAATTCCAGAACTACTCAGAAGTGTCAAGCAATTGTTCTGTTGGATCAGCCTGGCATTCAACAGTAAGTCGGTTTGAGGGGGTACTGCATGTAAACGGCTACCTTTTTTTAAAGCTGATCAAACAAGGGCAAGTGCTTTTCCTTTCCTACATGCCTTTTACGATGTTTCTTAAAGAACACAGTTGCAAATGAGATAAAGAAATTAAGTTACTCTTCAGTTTGTAGCAGAAGAGATGGGTGACAGCAAAATTGTTTATCAGGGTGTCAGATCTGAATTACATATCAGCTGTCTTCCATAAGCGGGAGAATAGATAAAAATGTAGCTCCTGTATTGACTGTTTATAAAATATTCTTTTTTTTTTTTTTTTTTTTTTTTCCCCCATTATAAGAGGAGTTCTTTTTTAATTTTTCACTGCAGCATGTAATGTTCTGTAATTCATGTGTGATTGTTCCTGGCTTCTTTCCTCATAATAGGAAAAGGCTGCCAAATGGAAAACGATAGATGGGCAGATGGATGGGTTAACGACAAATGGAGTCCTTGTTATGCATCCACGCAACGGATTCACCGAGGACTCTAAGCCAGGGGTGTGGAGAGAAATATATCCGTTTGCGGGAATGTGTTTAGCCTAAGAGAGACCCGCTCAGCTCAGCAGAGAGGAAAGATGGTATGTGCCACCTAACAGCCTTTCTTCTGTCAGTTTAACCGCTAAGGAATAATTTTTTTCTTTTCAACATTTTCCTTCTGAGAATCTGCTTTATTGAGGCTGTAAAATGGTATGTTTATTTGATTAGATGATTTCTTTTAATTCAAAGTCAGTTTTCTCATGGTTTAAATTTATTTATAGCACTTTTCAAGTAAATTTCATCTCGTCAAGCTTAGAACATACTGTTCCTCCATGGAAAAAAATGAATGCTGGATGATGAATCATCTTAACATATTTCCCTTTATATAACTGGGCTGTTCTGTGACAGATTGAGTCGCAAAGGGCTGGCATGTGAAGTCAGCTTCAGCCACTGTGGAGTTATTCATGTAATATTTCAGTTTTTAAGTATTTGACCTTTTTAGATCTCGAGTTCAATATATTCAATTTTAGTTGGATTTAGCAATCTTTTCATATTGCTTCTGGTTTGGACTGCAGTGCTCTCTCACACAATTTTGAAGAGCCTGCTTCTCATAGCTTGGGCAAGGAATCAGTGAGCAGAGGGGTTGACCTGAATTCTAACATGCTCAGATTCAAGACCATGAAGAAAATAAAGATACTGGCAACTATTGGAACTTGCTGTGAGGGTAGCAGTGCTGCATGAATGATAAATGCCAGAAAGGGTGTATTTTGTGTTTTTATATGTTGTTTTGCTTTTAGTTTGTGGTGAGTGAATCCGATATAATGACACAGATACTCGCCTCTGCTCCAGTAATGCTGCATCTGAAAGCTTCCTTGCTGGTGCCAAAATCTTCTCCCTGGATCCTTGGCCTTCTTGATTGGCCAAACCAGGATGTTGTAGATAGTCTGTATGCATAGGGGACTTCATTTATCCCAGCACCTGAGACTCAATCTATTGATCGACTTCAGTACAACCGGCCTGTCAGGGGTTTTTTTTTTTTTTTGCCCCCGATCACTGTTGGCGGCTATAGACACCACCAGCGATCATTGCATTCTGCCGATGGGGAAGGCTCCCCGCTGGCAGAACACAATAGCGCTGGGGGAGTTCAGCAGTTTTCTTTCCTTCAACCCATGACTGAAGGAAAGAAAATTGCAAAATGTATGGTCTGCCTTACTGTTTGATATTTTGTTTTTACTATTCTCCTCTGATGCTATGAGCACATATTGATTATATACTTTACTAGCATAGTACTATCACTATAACATGAAGAGTCATGAACAGATTACCTGCTCAGGTCATTTTACAGTGATTTTATTTTCTAGACATGTATCAGAAGAAACATTTAACGTGTATCTCTAGACAAAATGGTTTTGTTTTGGTCAAAGTAGGGAATAGTTTAAATCATTTTTTTTAGGAGATTTTGCTCCACTTCCTGTTACAAGAAACACAGAAGGATTTAGATAATAGTGTCCTGGGAATTCCTTTCGGGGCACATTTATTACCAGAACAGGAGTCACCATTGAAAGACTTTCTCACACCTTCTTTTGCGGTGACCGCCATAAAATTTTGGATTTTTTTGTTTTTTAATGATTTTCTGTTACAGTGATGATGGTCATCATGAGACAGAGAGGTTGAATGACCCCTGCATGTACACTGAAATAAGAACCTTTCAAGGGTCCTCATCCTGCTATACTTTGTCTAAACAACTAAGAAATTCTTTGAATAAGATTTTTAAATTGGTTACTTAATAGAGTAGTCAAGGTAGAGTGGAATCTGAGTAGGAACATATAACCTATCCATGAGACCAATTTTTAAATCAATTGAAAGGTCCTGGACTGACTGCTTCCTCCTTCCAGTCCTCTTACAGCTAATGTTGAGTTACCTACACATCACTAGAGGGAACATGTCCCTATAGATGTCTGAGAAACATTTTGACTGCATAGTTTATACAATAGATGCTTGAATTTCATGTATTGAACTGGAATAACTGGAATCTTTATGTTTAACAGGTGGAAAATGAAAGCAATGAGCTTCAAGATGGTTCCCTCATTGATCTTTGTGGAGCTACTTTGTTATGGCGCACTGCTGAAGGGCTATCCAGAACTCCAACCGTAAAACACTTGGAAGCACTGAGACAGGAGATCAACGCAGCACGACCTCAGTGTCCTGTTGGCTTTAATACACTGGCTTTTCCTAGTATGAAGAGGAAGGATGTTGTCGATGAGAAACAGCCTTGGGTATACCTGAACTGCGGCCATGTACACGGTTTCCATAACTGGGGGAACAAAGAGGAGCGGGATGGGAAGGACCGGGAGTGTCCAATGTGTCGCTCTGTGGGGCCCTACGTTCCACTATGGTTGGGTTGTGAAGCTGGATTTTATGTGGATGCAGGCCCTCCAACTCATGCCTTTAGCCCTTGTGGACATGTGTGCTCAGAAAAAACAACTGCCTACTGGTCTCAGATCCCACTTCCCCACGGTACTCATACTTTCCATGCAGCCTGCCCATTCTGTGCACACCAGCTTGCAGGAGAACAAGGGTATATCAGACTCATTTTCCAAGGACCTCTAGACTAGCACCTCTTTGGGGCTTGCATTGAGCGAATAAGCTAAGAATGGTGTGGTTTGCTTCCCGCTGGCCGGTCTTCTCAAAGTTGTCAAGACCTATTGGCGAAGTTTGCATAATACAGAGCTAAAAGCTACAGGAGCTCCAAACGTGAAACACAAGACGCAGCGATAAAACTTTTTATTTTCTGTTTGCAAGCAGATGTTTCAAAACGGGATTATGCAGATTTGATTTAAATGCCTTCATTAATATTTCTGAATGACCCACCTCAGTATTAAATTATTTTGGAAAACTGGGGAATATAGTCAGCTCAAACTACATTAGTTTACAATTCAACACACATTGTAAAATATAGCATACAACAGTTTTATATTTATCTTTAGTATGGAAAATGCCAATGACTTAATAGCATTGTCCTATAAACTGACCCATGTACTTTGGATGCTTAAAGTAGCCGGGACAATATCAGAGAACACCAATATGGACAATCTTTCCTTATTCCTGTTTATTTTCGTTATTCGATCATGAAATTAGCCCGTTTTATCACTGAATCATGTGACAGCTAGGAGATCATAAGTGGGTTCTGGGGGGTCTGTAAATATTTGGTTTCAATCACGTTGTCCTTGGTTAGTCTTAAGAGGCGCTCATTGTTTGCATACATTTCAGGGTTTTTATTTATCTGTTATTTTGAATTCATATTTTTATTTCTGAAGTAATATTTCTTGTGACATGACCTATTTATCCTCTTTTGAGCCATTTCTTGGGTTTCATTAAATCACAAAAAACATGTTGGAGCAGGTAAGATTAGAATGTTTTGTACAACTGTATTTTTCTCGGGGATGTTGCGTATTTTTACTGGAGCCTACATCCATTGTGATAAACTGTAAATTTCATGTTCCAGAAAGAGTTTGTAGTTTAGTTTATATTTTTCTTTTTTTTTTTTTTCTTTTTTTTTTTAATTCTACTTTTTCCCTTGCATGTTTTAAGATTGTAGCATTAGCTTTAACACAGCTTGTCCTCAGCTGGGTAGGTGAAATACCCATTTTAATGGGTGGAGTGTTTTGTGGCTTTTTTAACAGAGAAATACACAAGCAACCTTTTCTTTCTCAAGTTTCTTTTTGCACACACTCAGGAAAACTTAACTACAAAGAGAGCCTGAAATACTAGTTCTGATTTTTAACTGATCGTTTTCTAAAAGCAACACTGAATCCTTATGTGAGGAGTTCAGGTTGTTCTCACATACAAACCTGAATCAATGCATTAAGTGTTTTAAAGTGTACCTGTCACAGTCTGAGGCCTGAACATGCAAAGTAAGACTTGCATTAATGCTTTAGGAATCCGAGACCAGACTATCCATAATTTATAAAGAATAGATTGGCTGGGTAGATATTGAATCGCATGTAAACTGAAAAGGGGATTTTGAAGACGTTTACCTCCATTTCCTGGAATGGGACAGCAGCTAATGTGCAGTCATTAATGGGAATCAAGGAAACATTTTTGGACTCATTTACTATAATATGAAAACTAGTGCATCTGTTTATGGTAGCCAATCCGCTTCTAAGTTCAGCTTGTCCAATCAAACTTTGACTAAAAACCTGGAAGCTTGTTGGTTTCTATGCAGAGCTGCACCAGATTTTACAATCTCCAGTTTTAGTAAAACAACCCCACAGTGTCTATGCTCTGCTTCATCTCTATAAAATGCTCATTGAGGCCACAGCTTCATTCTACCTTTGCTAAAGAGCCTCTTGTAAGCTTTTAAATGTACCTTCACATTTGATGCAGCTTTCTAGCAATCCTTGGGTAGCAGCTTTGAAAACTGTGTAGAAATCGAATTAACCTTCAGAAGTCTGATGTCCATGAAGTCCGTATGTGTACGATGATATCATCCCTCCTTTACATATTGGCTAAAATTCTATTTTTTAAACTGCCAAAAGCCAGTATTTTAAAGTCTTATGAAAAAACTCTGGTTATTGCAAAAGGACAAGGGCTTGTGAATTTCAAGCAGGCTTGGCGACACCTCGATAAATACTATGAAAAGCCATTGAAAAGGGAAAATATTTTTGTGGATCAATGTTTGTAGCAGGCGAATACAATGGGAAAATAAAACTGGGGGGTTAGATCCCTTTTTCAAACTAAGTATATGTCATAATGCTCTCAGGCATTTCAATATATCTGTGTAACCTGTTTAATTCTTTAAAGTGGAACTTCATGAAAAAAATAAAAATTGGGCGATCAGGCAGGATTTTTAATGCATAAGAGAAGTGCTATGTCTTTTTTCCCATTTAAACTCTTCCCACTGACCTGAGGGCTATATTCGGCCTGCCAGCAGGTGGTCTTTAATGCTGAGTGGTTGCATATATGCATCCCTAGGTAAACACTACTTTGCTGAGAGCATGCTTGCTGCACGCTCCCAGAACCGTAACAAGCAGGTACCGGAAAGCTCCTGATGCATACTTGTGATCATGAACTTTCTGATCCTGTGACTGCCAGTCACATGATGGAAATTCCAGCCTTTGGTTCCTGGCATTTAAATCCTGTTAAAGGGCCAGGAGGCAGGAGTGGAAAGGGGTTCAAGTTAGTTACTTGCCTGTCTGCCCCTGTACAGTGAGCTGTGCATGCACAGCTTATTGTAAAAGTTTGGGAATGCCAAGATGACATAATGTGTGCGAGGGAGTCACATCCCAGCCTGGCCAATGAAAGCTGACAGCAATTGATACCCAGAAGCCGGCCACCCAGCCTGTGCGGGTCTCCGGGACACTGCATTGCTGGAATGAAGGTGACTATAGCTCCGCATAACTCCATTTCTTAGCAAGAAGTATATGATAGAACGTATTGCCCTCTGTTTCTTTTATCTGAATCCTTTTATTTCTGAAAGGATCTTTTTTTGCGGGTTGTTTCCATAAGTCTTTCTACAAGAAATTTGTGTTGGATGTTTACTGGTCTTTTCAAGTGGAATTAACGTCATAGAATGAGTGGGGTTCACGTTAATATTACCAATTCACATTAGTGTTTTGACTTAAAAAATACTCTTTTGTTTGCCTTGTTAAAAAAAAAAGTGGTACTGCTGCTACTCTCCTTTCATTTCTTAAACTTTAATCAGCCTGGAAAGAGTGTGGGTGTTTTACCTCATTGAAGACTGCAGAAACATCATCTAAAACATCAGTTTAAGATACTGAATATCATTTAAAATGAATTTAATACACAGTATAATTTCACTTTTAAAATAAACTCCAAGCAAACTGCTAAATACACAAATGAATGAAATGTATGTAAGCTACTTTACCTGCTTGAGGATTTTTCTGCTCATCTAATTCTGTGATTTGAACAGATCTGCCACAGTCCCTGTCAATATGGCAGTAAACCTGACTTTTCTGTGATGCGGCCTATGACTGGACAGTTAAAGGACTTATAGCATATTGATGAACTCATCTCTGTTGGCGCCTACTGTCAGTATGTTTCTTGTTAGTTCATGAACACTGCAGTACGCCTGCCTACTTGTGCTTCTTCTTCCTCCTAGTTTGAGCTGTACTGTACAGTGGCTTGCAAGAGGCTGATACCAGGTCAATGTCTGGTGCTTATTCTGCACTTGTTAATACATCATTACATACATTTTTTATTGCAAGCAGAGTTATGTTTGAGTCCTTTTTAACTGCCTGTAGGTCCGCTTTAAAGTGAGTAAACCCTTACATATACTGCATGAAGTGACCAGCCTCAGATGATACACAGAGCTTTATCTGCAGCCTTCTATTCTGTATATCCATTTAAAGTGCCGAATTTATAAAGCTTGTCTGAGATTTCAGAAAACGGGGCGGAGAGTTGAAATAACACACTGCAGAACTCAGTTCCTTTTTTTTTTTATCTGCAGCCTTCTCTTCTGTACATTTGTTCAGTGCAGAATTTCTAAAGCTTGTCTGAGCTTTCAGAGAATGGGGCAGAGAGCTGATATTACACACTGCAAAGCTCAGTGAGGAGTTGATTGTAGGAGAGAGACACACCCCTCTCCACACAGCTCACAGGAACATAGCTGAGGCTGTCAATCACAGGCTGTGTGCTTGAGATTCCTCCCGTCACCATTTTTTCCTCTTGGTTTCAGAAAACTTGTAAGACGTGATTCATGCTGATAGCAGAGGAACCAAAGCAGCAGACAAAATTACACTTAGTGCTAGTAATTGAGACAAGTACACACTATAGAGGGATATGCTTTATTCATATTTCATTTCTGAGGTTTACAATCACTTTAAGATGCATGTAAAAGACATGAGCTTTTCACTTGATACACTAAGGAATCAAAGTACAGCCATGAACTGTGGAACAATATTACATTGGTCATTGCTAGAATATTGCAGCACAGACTTTATGGAAAACTGTGGCCTTCAGAAGGGAGGATCAATCATTGTTTACACATACATTGTCCAGTAATGGAAAACATCATTCTAATCAGGAGCAATGCCAGATACTGTGCTTGGCACACGTCTGAGGAATGGGTAATTGGCAGATCTGTTCTTGTTGATAAAGATGTCTGCTTATGTATGTCCTGCTTTATGAATAAGCTCAATATACAGAATGGCCACCTCTCCCGCAAATGTGACTGGTACACTTTAAGATTGCTTCATGCACCCAAGAGCTGCTTTGTGTTGACATGTAAATAACCTGCAAATGATTTTTATATATACAGTATGTAAAGAGTCCATTCTGTAAAATGTTAGATTTATTTGGTTTACAGCATAATTTATTCACTTTTAAAGGAGTCCTAGCTTACAGTCGTGTTTGGGAGAAGTACTAGCGGAGGTTTTTAAAGCGTTTATTCATATTTTTTTGGTTTTTGGGAGGGAGGTAGGGGCTGGATAAAGGGGAGAAGTTTGGGGGAGGGGGGGGTGATCCAGATTTTACAAAAACCCTATTTGAAGGATTAAAAAAAGAAAATTGTCTACTATGCATTTAACTTACGGCATAAAAGATTGTGATTGTAGTTGTCAATTCATTTTCTCTTGCTTTTTGTGTCAGCTGTGGC